TATACAAAAAATTAGCCGGGCATGGTGGTGCATGCCTGTAGTCCCAGCTACTCGGGAGGCTGAGGCAGTAGGATCGCTGAGCCCCCGGAGATTGAGGTTGCTGTGAGCCAGGTTGACGCCACGGCACTCACTCTAGCCTGGGCAACAAAGCGAGACTCTGTCTCAAAAAAAAAAAAAAAAAGTGTTGGTAAGAACACAGTGAAATTAGAACCCTCACTGCTGACAGGAATGTAAAGTGGTGCAGCCACTTCAGCTATTCCTTAAAAAGTTAAACACAGTTACCATATGAGCCAGCAATGCCATTCCCAGTAAGTACACACTCACAAGAAATGAAAACATATGTCTACACAAAAACTTGCACGTAAATTTCACTGCCTATTTACAACAACCAAAAGTAGAAACAACCCAAGCAGCCATCAATTGATCAATAGACAAAATGTGCTATATCCATACAATGGAATATCATGCAGGCATAAAGAAATAAGGTAGCAGGGCCAGGCGCGGTGGCTCACGCCTGTAATCCTAGCTCTCTGGAGGCCGAGGCGGAGGATTGCTCGAGGACAGGAGTTCGAAACCAGCCTGAGCAAGAGCGAGACTCCATCTCTACTATAAATAGAAAGAAATTAATTGGCCAACTAATATATATACAAAAAATTAGCCGGGCATAGTGGCAAATGCCTGTAGTCCCAGCTACTTGGGAGGCTGAGGCAGGAGGATTGCTTGAGCCCAGAGTTTGAGGTTGCTGTGAGCTAGGCTGCGCCATGGCACTCACTCTAGCCTGGGCAACAAAGCGAGACTCTGTCTCAAAAAAAAAAAAAAAAGGATGATCCTTACATTATGTGAATTATATCTAAATTGAAAAATTGAAAAAAAAATAATACAGGAAACTTTTCCAGATCTGAAGGATCAATATTTCTGTATTACAGGAGTTCAGCAGAAATAAATGAGAGAAAACCATACCAAAGCACATCATCATGACAATTTTTTTTTTTTTTTGAGACAGAGTCTCGCTTTGTTGCCCAGGCTAGAGTGAATGCTGTGGCTCCAGCCTAGCTCACAGCAACCTCCAACTCCTGGGCTCAAGCAATCCTCCTGCCTCAGCCTCCCGAGTAGCTGGGACTACAGGCATGCGCCACCATGCCCGGCTAATTTTTTCTATATATGTTAGTTGGCCAATTAATTTCTTTCTATTTATAGTAGACACGGGGTCTCGCTCTCAGACTGGTTTCGAACACCTGACCTCGAGCAATCTGCCCGCCTCGACTTCCCAGAGTGCTAGGATGACAATTTTTTTTTTTTTTTTGAGACAGAGTCTCACTTTGTTGCCTAGGCTAGAGTGAGTGCCATGGCGTCAGCCTAGCTCACAGCAACCTCAAACTCCTGGCTCAAGCAATCTTTCTGCCTCAGCCTCCCGAGTAGCTGGGACTACAGGCATGCGCCACCATGCCCGGCTAATTTTTTTCCATATATATTAGTTGGCCAATTAATTTCTTTCTATTTATAGTAGAGATGGGGTCTCGCTCTTGCTCAGGCTGGTTTCAAACTCCTGACCTCGAGCAATCTGCCCACCTCGGCCTCCCAGAGAGCTAGGATTACAGGCGTGAGCCACTGCGCCCAGCCGTAGGATGACAATTTCTTTTAGATAGAGTCTTACCTCTGTCACCCTGGGTAAACTGCAGTGATGTCATTATAGCACACCCCAGTCTCCCAATTCCTGGGCTTAAGTGATCCTCCTGCCTCAGCTTCATGAGTAGCTGGGACTATAGGCATGTGCCACCATACCTGGCTAATTTTTCTGTTTTTAACAGAGACAAGTTCTCACTCTTGCTCAGGCTGGTCTTGAACTCCTGAGCTCAAGCAATCCTCCTGTCTCGGCCTTTAGAGTTAGGATTACAGGCGTGAGGCCGCACCCAGCCATCATGAATTTTAGAATAAAAGGGATAAGATAAGACCCTTGAATTCTTCCAAAGAGAAAAAATATATAGAAAGAAAAATGAAAATAACATAATAATTTTCAACAGAGGCCAGATGACAATAGGAAAAATGACCTCAAAATTCTGAATGAGTTATTTTTGACTTAGAATTCTAAACCCACTTTAACTGACAATCACAGGTGAGAGTGGAATAAAGATATTTTCAGACATGCTAGATGTGCAGAAGAGAGTTACCATAGCAGGTCTGAGTCTGCAATCCTTAGAAAAGCCTGCTCACAAGGTTGCCCTTAGCTGGTGTCTGGGAACTTAGATTTCAGGAGGGTTCCCACCATTTCTAAACTGATAAGAATTGCTCACTCTACCTAAACTGTGTAAATAGTTTGCTAAACAACCACATTCCTTATGGAAGTCTGGAATTTTGGTATATGCCAAGGAAAGGGTGCCTATTTGACCAACCCTGATAAAAACCCTGAGTCTCTGAGAAGTTCCCTGGTAAACAACATTTCACATATGTTGTCATAACTTGTGGGAGGAATTGAGTACATCCTTTGTGACTCCACTGGGAGGAGCCCTGGATGCTTATGCCTGGTTTCCTCCAGACTTCACCCATGTGCCTCTTCCCTTGTTGATTTTACTTTGCATTCTTTCTCTGTAATAAATCTTAACTGTGAATACAACCATATGCCGAGTCCTGTGAGTCCTCCTAGAAAAGCATCAGACCTCGGTGTGGTCTTGGATCTCCAACATATTCAGTAAAAAATTAACATTCTATGTATCTTTTTTGAGGATGCTTCTGGATAACATGCCACACAAAATGGGGAATAACCCAAAAAGAATACATGAGATCAAAGAAGTCACCAATGTAGACGAGAGAGAGGGGAAAGAAGTCTTAGGATATCAACTATGCAGCAGCCCTACTGAGCAACCATTCCAGACTGGAATGGAGCAGGATGATAGCAAAAGGGGCACCAGGTAGGGGGAAAAGTAACTAATAGATTTTTTTTTTTTTTTTTTTTTGAGACAGAGTCTCACTTTGTTGCCTAGCTAGAGTGAGTGCCGTGGCGTCAGCCTACTCACAGACCTCAGACTCCTGGGCTCAAGCGTCCTTCTGTCTCAGCTCCCAGTAGCTGAGGGCATGGCGCCACATGCCCGGCTAATTTTTTCTTATATATTAGTTGGCCAATTAGTTCTTTCTATAGTAGAGACGGGTCTCGCTCTTGCTCAGGCTGGTTTTGAACTCCCGACCTCGAGCAATCCGCCCACCTCGGCCTCCCAGAGAGCTAGGATTACAGGCGTGAGCCACCGCGCCGGCCTACTAATAGATTATTTAAAGGGTTTGAAAGCATGGAGAATTACAGTGAGAAGAAAATAGGTAGAGGGTATAGGATGAAATAGTGATTGATAGATAGAAGAGAATTTAGCAATGGCTAAAACAAAGCTGATTACCAGCTCCAGGAAAAAGCTATTTAAGAATAATCATAGAAAAATCTCTCTCTTTTTTTTTTCTTTTTTTTTTTTTTTTTTTTTTTTTTTTTTTTTTTTTTTTTTTTTTTTTTTTTTTTTTTTTTTTTTTTTTTTTTTTTTTTTTTTTTTTTTTAGCTGTCTTTGTTTTATGTTAATATTTTTTTCAATGTCACATTTAATTTTGCTTTAGATTTGTTTTTTTTTGGTTGGTGTATTATTGTATAATGATAGTATTCTTGTTTATTTTTTTATGATATTTATGCTAAATATAAATACTATGTTCGATTTTTTTGTTATTTTTTTTTTTTATTTTTTCTATATATATTAGTTGGCCAATTAGTTTCTTTCTATTTATAGTAGAGACGGGGTCTCGCTCTTGCTCAGGCTGGTTTTGAACTCCCGACCTCGAGCAATCCGCCCACCTCGGCCTCCCAGAGAGCTAGGATTACAGGCGTGAGCCACCGCGCCCGGCCTACTAATAGATTATTTAAAGGGTTTGAAAGCAAGGAGAATTACAGTGAGAAGAAAATAGGTAGAGGGTATAGGATGAAATAGTGATTGATAGATAGAAGAGAATTTAGCAAATGGCTAAAACAAAGCTGATTACCAGCTCCAGGGAAGAAAGCTATTTAAGAAATAATCATAGAAAACCAGGCATGGTGGCTCATGTCTGTAATTCTAGTACTCTGGGAGGCCAAGGAGGGATGATTGCTTCAACTCAGGAGTTCAAGACTAGCCTCAGGAAGCTTGAGACCCCGTCTCTACTGAAAAGATGTTAAAAACAAAACAAAACAAAAAATAGCTGGGCATTGCAGCAAGCGCCTATAGTCCCAATTACCCAGAGGCTAAGGCAGAAGGATCACTTGAGCTCAGGAGTTGGAGGTTGCAGTGAGCTGTGATGATGACATTGTACTCTACCCAGGGCAACAGAGTGACATTCAGTCTCAACAGAAACAAAAAAGGCAACTAAGCACCCCTCCTCACAACCCCCATCCCTAAAAAAAAGAAAAGAAATGGTCATAGTATATCATCTAGCTCAGCAGTAAACAATATTTACACAGTCATAGTATTTTAAACAATGAATACTGATTTAAATCAAAACTTTAACACACCTATATTAGGAGGTTGTGGGAGGGGAAGGGAAGATTAAAACAAGCAAATCTTCATCTACCCTGATAAGAAGTTAAACCTGGCTGCGTACGGTGGCTAATCCTAGCACTCTGGGAGGCCAATGCGGGCGGATTGCTCGAGGTCAGGAGTTCGAAACCAGCCTGAGCAAGAGCGAGATCCCGTCTCTACTAAAAATAGAAAGAAATTAATTGGCCAACTAATATATAGAGGAAAAAATTAGCCGGGCATTGTGGCATTGTGGTGCATGCCTGTAGTGTCAGCTACTTGGGAGGCTGAGGCAGGAGGATTGCTTGAGCCCAGGAGTTTGAGGTTGCTGAGAGCTAGGCTGACACCACAGCACTCACTCTAGCCTGGACAACAAAGCAAGACTCTGTCTCAGAAAAAAAAAAGAAGAAGTTAAAACCCTTTCGAGTTGCCTGAGGACACTGGTCGGCCCAAGCTGAGGCCACCCAACACTGCCAGGCGGGGGAGGGGGGGTGCTTTTCCCCCATGTCTTGAATAAAGTTGTGTCTAATTCTCAAAAAAGTTAAAACTCAATGCCTACATTGACAAACCAAGAGATACCAGCAGAAGCTTATCACTCAAAAATATGGAGAGAAATTTCAAAAGATAAGCTAAAAGAGTTAAAGATGGGAGTTGGAAGGGATAAGTTCTTCATTATAAGCCTTTTAATACCATTTGATCTTTCAGAGTAGCACTGCCCAATAGAAATATAATGGAAGCCATATATGTAATTTTAATTCCAGTAATCACATTTTAAAACTATAAACAGATGAAATTTACTTCAATAATAGTTTATTCAACCCACTGTATACCAAATATTATCATTTCAATTCACGGCACTGGCCACATTTCAAGTGCTCAATGGCCATATGTGACCAGTGGCCCTACCAGGCATAATTTTGGATTGTATGCCTGTAATACTTTAACAAAAATTATTTTTATTTTTTAAAAAATAGTAGTAACAATGAACAGCTTACCTTCTGTACCTGGGCTTTGACTACCAGTCCTGGTAGCAAGTTATTAAGGGTCCAGTTTTGCTCCTCAGTAGCAATGGCAGTAGAAACCTCTGCATGACCAACAGACAGACTAACAACTCCTCCATTGCCTTTCACCTCTTCAATGACACAGTTCAGGTACTGACCCACCTTCAATTTAGCACCTGTGAGCCCAACCCCCAAAAGGAAAAATAGTTCAATGATAAGGACTTTTAATATGGGTTCAAGCAGTACCTGAAAAGATCCATGACCTACCTATCCAGTTAGCATCTAATACTACTATCCATACTTCCCATCTCTAAGGGACCAACTACAAGAAGAGAATGAAGTTACCCTAATTGATCTGGAATTCAATTACCCCACAAAAATAAGAAAATCTCAACAAGTCAGGAGAGTGCTAGTTCAGAGACCCTATAAGCCCAAATTTCAATGGAATGTTCTGGTGAGCAAAACTAACACTGGTCCTTCAGATCACAGTGAGACCCTGCCACTCCCTGGCCCGTCACACATCTTCCCTTGCCTATCAGCTAGGATTAACCACTGCTTTTACCAAAGCCACACAGCCTCCAGGGTCACCCCTCTGAATCAGGGTCAAATTACTCATCTAAGTAGCACTTAAATATAATCCCCATAGGTACCACACCTCAGTGCCACATACTGGCCCCTCTTCCTGCCCTCACCTTTGTTCTTCTGTCGGATGTACTCCTGGGCTTTTGGCAGTGGCAAAAATGCTCTGGTCCCCTCAACACCAATGTCCACTAGGTAGCCATGGTCTTCCAAGCTGGACACAGTGCCTGTGAGCAACTGAGCAAAGAGAAAGCATTCCCAAATGTTCCAAGACAAAGGTAAGGGGACACATAACAAACATCCAAGCATCCAAATGTGAATGTTCCCACCATTAATCTCTACGTACTCTCCCATCATGTCATCCCCCACTGTTAACTTGAAACCACAATCCCACTAGAGGATAGACATCAACTTCAATTCTCCTAGGCCTTGAAGGATCTTCTGGCTTCCAGACTGTGAGGAGTGTTAAACACAGTTGAATAATGGCATGAGAGAGGAGTTTCTCACCTGGAGATTTTTCAAAAGATAGGAAAGATTTTTATGTTATGCGAAGAGGGATAAACTGGCTCTGGTCACTCCCAGAGCCATGATTAACAGAGAATCCAGAACTACCTTTCTAGCTGTCATATTATGTCTTTTCTAAGCACCTCCAAGGCATATCTTCCTTTATATATCGTGGGGAGTAATGTGGCTCTGTCCATTTAGTACTCGAGGCACCCAGAAGATCTTCCCTCCAGAAAAAGACCCACTCTTGCATGTAACAATTAAGCTAAAAGTAAAAGATGGCCTAGACCACGCTCCCCAGGAGGCAGATCAGGGAGACGCCAGGTTTCCTGTTCCTCTTCTCTGACCCCAGGTACGTACCATGCCAGGCTTCAAGGCCTCAGCACTCAGCACTCTGTTGACATTTTTGGGGTTAAGAGATAGCTTCACACTCCTTTTTCCTCTCTCTGTGATGCCCACACTGCTCACCACACATCTCACCAGCATTCCAGGTGAGAAAAGCTCAGGCAACTGGAGTAGATCCTGCATGATACAAATGAGAAAGACCTGATATATATCCTTTCCCTGAACCAAATATCCACTTCCCAGCCTCAGCTCAGTGGTTTCTCTTCCTTAGACCACAAAGAATCTAAAAGGTAGGCCGGGCGCGGTGGCTCACGCCTGTAATCCTAGCTCTCTGGGAGGCCGAGGCGGGCGGATTGCTCAAGGTCGGGAGTTCGAAACCAGCCTGAGCAAGAGCGAGACCCCGTCTCTACTATAAATAGAAAGAAACTAATTGGCCAACTAATATATATACAAAAAATTAGCCGGGCATGGTGGCTCATGCCTGTAGTCCCAGCTACTTGGGAGGCTGAGACAGAAGGATCGCTTGAGCCCAGGAGTTTGAGGTTGCTGTGAGCCAGGCTGACGCCACGGCACTCACTCTAGCCTAGGCAACAAAGCGAGACTCTGTCTCAAAAAAAAAAAAAAAAAAAAAAAGAATCTAAAAGGTAGATGAACAATCCAGAAAGGAAGATGGGTCTATGGCCAAGCCAGAGTCTTGAATTCCAACATAAGATATCCAAATATCTCCACATAACCGGCAGATATAAAACAACTGGTCAAGAGTTGTCAGGCCGGGCACAGTGGTTCACACTGTAATGCTAGCACTCTGGGAGGCCAAGGCAGGTGGATCGCTCAAGGTCAGGAGTTCGAAACCAGCCTGAGTAAGAGCGAGACCCTGTCTCTACTAAAAATAGAAAGAAATTAATTGGCCAACTAAAAACATATATAAAAAATTAGCCAAGCCGGGCGCGGTGGCTCACGCCTGTAATCCTAGCTCTCTGGGAGGCTGAGGCGGGCGGATTGCTCGAGGTCAGGAGTTCGAAACCAGCCTGAGTAAGAGCGAGACCCTGTCTCTACTATAAATAGAAAGAAACTAATTGGCCAACTAATATATATACAAAAAATTAGCCGGGCATGGTGGCTCATGCCTGTAGTCCCAGCTACTTGGGAGGCTGAGACAGAAGGATCGCTTGAGCCCAGAGTTTGAGGTTGCTGTGAGCTAGGCTGACGCCACGGCACTCACTCTAGCCTGGGCAACAAAGCGAGACTCTGTCTCAAAAAAAAAAAAAAAAAAAATTAGCCAGGCATAGTGGTGCATGCTTATAGTCCCAGCTACTCGGGAGGCTGAGGCAAGAGGATTGCTTGAGCCCAGGAGATTGAGGTTGCTGTGAGCTAGGCTGACGCCACAGCACTCACTCTAGCCTGGGCAACAGAGTGAGACTCTTGTCTCAAAAATAAATAAATAAAAATAAATAAATAAATAAAAAAGAGTTGTCAGCCAGGCGCAGTGGCTCACGCCTGTAATCCTAGTACTCTGGGAGGCCGAGGCGAGAGCACCACTTGCACTCAGGAGTTTGAGACCCACCTGAGTAAGAGTGAGGACCTATCTCTATTGAAAATAGAAAAAATTAGCTGGGTGTGGTGGTGTACACCTGTAGTCCCACCTATTCAAGAGGCTGAGGCAGAAGGATCCCTTGAGCCCAGGAGTTGGAGGTTGTTGTGAGCCAGGCTGACACCACAGCACTCTAGCCCGGGCAATAGAGCAAGACTCTTGTCTCCAAAAAAATAAGACAACAATAACAATAACAACAACAATAACAAAACAATCTTTAACATAGTCTGCAAAACTGCACACAACCTGGCCCCCACCCAGCTCTCCAGACCATCCCATACTACACTCTCCCTTCCTAGCCGTACTAGCTTTCTCTCTGTTATATACTGTGCAGCTTCTGCTAGAACTCCCTTCCTTCTTTACCTAGGGAACCCTCATTCTTCCGATGTCAGCTCAAGCATCCCTTCCTCAGCAAAGTCTTCCAGGCTTCCTAGACTAAGTTAAAAATCCCCTTATTATAAACTCTCATAGCACCTTGTACCTTTCCTTCTTAGCATTTAGCAAAGTTGTAATTTTATATCTATTTGTGTTTCACTTATTTTCAGTAACAGGTTTCATCCAGGTTTCCCTTACCTTCAGAGGTTCTTCTTGTGCCACTTGCTCATTCAGTTTTTTGGTGTAAGCATCACAGATTTCAGTTGCTTGCACAAATCCCCGGAGGCCATTGGGGAGACTGATCACCAGTTCTAATTCATTTACCTCTTTTACACAACCTAAAATCCGCATTCCCTCACACAGGGACTAGAAGAGAAAAAGTGAAAATATGTACAATAAGGAAGACAAGAAGGATAGAGAAGTTAGGAGGTCTGGCTTCTAGTCTCAACTCTGACATTTAAAAGCTATGGGAGGCTGGGCATGGTGGCTCACGCCTGTAATCCTAGCACTCTGGGAGGCCGAGGCGGGCGAATTGCTCGAGATCTGGAGTTCAAAACCAGCCTGAGCAAGAGTGAGATCCGTCTCTACTATAAATAGAAAGAAATTAATTGGCCAACTAATATATATAGAAAAAGTTAACCGGGCATGGTGGCACATGCCTGTAGTCCCAGCTACTCAGAAGGCTGAGGCAGTAGGATTGCTTGAGCCCAAGAGTTTGAGGTTGCTGTGAGCGAGGCTGAAGCCACGGCACTCACTCTAGCCTGGGCAACAAAGCGAGACTCTGTCTCACAAAAAATAAATAAATAAAAATAAATAAATAAATAAAAGCTACTGGAATTTTGTAAATGAAAAGAAGTAACATACGTGTGTGTACATGTTTACGCACTTCTCAAATACCTAACTGAGCACTGTGAAAGGTCTGGATTATACAAGTGTTAACAGCACTGGGATGCTAGAGGACACTTTTGCTTTTTACTTTAGTTCAAACAACGCAAACTCAAATGCTTAGCAGACAACACAATGAAGGAAGCAGGCCAGTGGAGGCAATGGCAGGCAGTCTAGAGTGTGCATATGGGCTACAATGGGTACAACCACTGCTCAGCTCCTTGTCACTACAACATGAGAGAACATGAGCCTTGTATTGTCAGCACTTTGCAATTTTTATGAGAAAGCAAAAATCACATTTTGTATGTAAAATGTTTAGTTTCCTAATATTGCCACCAAGCTAAACAATTTTTTAAAAAGTATCATACAGGATTGAATCTGAATATTTCCCTTCAGAATCATTTAACATTTTTTCTTTTTCACAACTAACATATATTAGAGTTATAATCTAAAAACACAGGGAGACCACTTCTCTGAGATGGTTTCACATCTATGAAATGAATGGGTAGGATTAGAATGATTGTTAAAGTTAGTGTCAGTTCTAACCTCTGAATTTATTAAAACACAGTGCCATGAGGACACAAACAAGCCCACGGCAGCTTTAAAGAAAAAAAAGACCCCAGGCATTGGTTAATAATCGAAGGAAATAATGCTCCTCAATGCTCAGCAAAAATTGCAAGAATCTTTACAGACACACACACAAAACAGAGAAAGGAATGAAAGAAAAAAAGAAGCAGGAAGGAAGAACATATACAAACTTAAGCAAACAAGGTAGTTTAAAGGAAAACCAAACTTCAACAAACCTCAACACTAAGGATTTCAAACTTCTCTCTTACAGACTTGCTGCTTTCTCTCTTCTCGATTTTCAACTTTTTTGTTTTTGCTGGCCCTTTCTGGCTCTTTTTCCTTTTGGTGGATTTCTCTTCAGTAGAAATCTAAAGGAGAAAAAAGACCCACAAAGATCCAAAAGAGTAAGAAGCAACCCTGGCCTTTTCCTCCCATTTCAGGTCATTTGTCTACTTGCTGTGTACTCCCCAACTCCACTCCAATCCACCCTGCCCCACTCCCAACTGTTCTTTAATTCTTGCTTCAATCCCAACTCTCCCATTTGGCCACCCATGCTCCCTTTTCCCAGGGTTTGAGAAGCCTCCTTCATGTTCCCAAAGTATCTTCTCTACTGCGTTCTTCCTCTCTTGACTGGGATGAATACTAGGTTTCCCTAGTGCATGAAAATGGAAGCTGGAGTCACAGAGACCCAAGTTAAACTCCCAACACTACCATAACAAGCTAAGTGGTTTTACCTAAAGTATGTAATCTCTCCGAACCTCGGGTCCTCATCATGGAATTTCAATTTCTACTTCATAGTATAATTGGAAAGATTATATAATACGGTATAGATATAAAGCCACACACTCAAACGGTAGTTCCCTTCCCCCTAGCATTTAGAATACAGCCTAGCCTAGGATAAACTGCAAATTCTAATGCAAACTTTAACCATTGCGTGTGGTGAGGACCCTATTTAAAAACGCAATGATCAGCCGGGCGTGGTGGCTCACGCCTGTAATCCTAGCACTTTGGGAGGCCGAGGCGGGCGGATTGCTCAAGGTCAGGAGTTCGAAACCAGCCTGAGCGAGACCCCGTCTCTACCAAAAATAGAAATAAATTAATTGACCAACTAAAAATATATATACAAAAAATTAGCCGGGCATGGTGGCGCATGCCTGTAGTCCCAGCTACTTGGGAGGCTGAGGCAGGAGGATCGCTGAGCCCTGGAGATTGAGGTTGCTGTGAGCCAGGCTGACGCCACGGCACTCACTCTAGCCTGGGCAACAAAGTGAGACTCTGTCTCAAAAAAATACAACAACAAAAAAAAACCCAATGATCAGTTAGGGTGCAGTGGCTCATGCCAGTAGTCCCAGCTGGTCCCGGCTACACGGGAGGCAGAGGCAAGAGGACTGCTTGAGCCCAGGAGTTTGAGTCCAGCCTGGGCAACAGAGACCTCCTCTCTTGAAACAAACAAAAAAGTAATGATCAAACTGCTTTCTCTCTATCCTTAATCAACATCCACAGAGTCCCTAAGAAAAAGAAACAAGAGCACTTCTAACTCAAATACTAAATACCGTGCTCCAAAAGATATAGCCTTATGGTACGGCCTCTCTAACAAATTCAATTTATAGAAATGAACTTCAACAAGAAACAAACTTAGAAAATAACATATTCTCAGATGAAGCTCATCCTTCACAAGACACTAGAGTGAAAGTTTCCAGTGAGTCTCACCAAATAAACATAACTCTTACATCAAATAAGTTGTCTTGTTCAACTGACTGCTGGAAAGCCTTCTCTGATTTGTGGATCTTTCTTGTACCCCCTCGGGGGAAGCTTTCTTCCAGCGTTGCCATGTTTGGGTCTCCTAAAGACAATGTAAAGAGTAATGGTGAGATGTTGATGGCAGATTTCATAAAAGCTGTGATCAGTGAGCAAGCCATAAATCATTCTAGCAATGTGTTAGACAATATTAAGCACTATGACATAGATGATTCAGATGTCAGGCCCCTAATAATTCATACATCTTTCCAAAGGTCTCTGCTTTAAAACCAAAGTCCACACACCTTCTTCCAGAAAAAGAGTCATAGATTCAACGCAGTCAATACTCATTAAACAGCTACAGTTAGGTCAGACATACACAAATGAACATATAACCCCCAACTTTCAATGAACATGACGTTTTTTTACAAGATAAAACAATTATGCAAGTAATTTAACATACGAATTGGATTATAAACTATCAACAAAGAGGTAGGAAGTGATGAGGCCTCAGTAAAAGAAGGCATGCTTCATAAAGAAGTTTCTTTTGAGCTGAATGTTAAAAGATGAAAAAGAGCTTGACAGGAAGAAAGGGAATGTGAGAAAAGGCACAGAAACGGGAAAAGCCTGTTATTTCAATAAATGCCAGCAATTTGCCTATGAAAAATTGCTCAAAGTCATGCTGTTGTCTATCTTGAAGAAATGTTCCACTAGACCACAAGGAGAAGAAAGCACAGTAATTGGAGATAAATCTTAAAGGAGAGGTTCAGCTTTTCTGCAGAAGACCTGGAATCAGATCTGAGTAGTTTATGTTTACTAGGGCAAGTCAGTGCCTTAAGAAGAGAAAGCAACAGAATAGTAATCTAGAAAAATTTACTTTGGGCTGTAGATTGGACAGAAGAGAGGACTGAAGGCAAGTAAATCAGGAGGAAGGATTCAAATGCGATACTACAGAGAAACCAGGAGAACCAGAACTAGGTTTCAATGAGAAAAGAAGACAGGAGGGGTTAGGTGTGAGACACACCTAGGAATAAGAATCTAGAAGGGCTTGAGACTGTAGAAATGACGACCCAGAGGTAGCCAAAGATTTGGAATCAGGAATGGATATATGCTGCGTAGAAATAGGAAAGTGCAAGGGGTCTGTCCAGTCGCTGAGAATTTGCCCCTTAATCTTATATGAGAGAAGGGGAAATTGAGGTTCCAAAAAGTAAGGCGATCCAGGGGCAGAGAAGGGACTTAAGCTATTTCCCGGACAAAGAGCCTGGGGTGTCAGGGGCTGCGTGAACAGAGCCGGCTTCAGAGCGGCGGTCAGGTGGCCGAACCACTCACCGGGCACGGTAGATGCCTGGCAGGGACCAGCAGGCCTGAGAACCATGAGGTTCCTTCCTTCTCGCTTCTGCCCTTACTCACCAGCCCCGCGGCGCCAGCACCCCCTAGCACGGAGCCCGCGCCGCTGTAAACACACACGCGGAGACCAGGATTCCCACAACTCAATCCCGCTCTTCCGGAAGCATGGGCGGCCTCAACGCCTTACTTCCGTTGCTATGTTGCGTCACGCAGGGTGGGGGAGGCGATATAGCGACAGGAAGCAGAAAGGCGGGACTTAAAGCCGTAGCCAATCGCCACAGAAAGCCTCTGTGGCCTGTAGAACGCCTCGGGGGAAGGCTGCTTCTTCCGGCTGGGCCGAGGGGAGGCTGCGAACGTTGAAGGACACCGGCTGCGGAATTTGTGGCTTTCGTGAGGTGGGTGAGGTGGGAGAGGATGGGGTCTCAGACCTCGCGCCTCTGGTTTGCGGGGCCTGCCTAGAATCTGACCGATTTGGTCAGGGAACACCGCGAGGCCTTCGCTTTGGAGGGCAAGAGCAGCGGGGAATGGCACAGGAGCTAGGGAAAACGAGGGCGGGCAGTGGGTGAGAAGCCTCGAGGCGAGGCGGATAGGCGAGCCCACAGGCTCCCACAGTTCCAGAGGACCCATAGATTGCGTTTTCTACTGAAGAAAAATGAGGCCTTCCACAGAGTCCCCCAAGGTCATCCTCTGATTGATCGTGGCCTCGGACTTCTGACCCCATCTCTGATCAAATTAATCTCCTTTCCTCTGTATGCCTCTAGCTGTTTCCACTGAGCTATATTTAGGAAGCTGGCCATCCAGGATTCCTTTAGCTGAGCTGCAGCATTTGTCAAAGCGAGAGTGTCGCCTGGCCCCTGCAGTTCACCAGGCCCGCGGGAAACGGGTTAGGTTGCAGTCTTTATACGGTCAGCGGGAAGGCCTTTCCTAGCGGGTAGCCAGAACAGAGAGCTGTAAACCCCTTGACGTGCAAGAGGCTGCTTCTGATATCTGAGCGGCTCTCATTCGTCTTTGCCTTCTTTACCTCGTGGTCTCACCATTCCAGGTAGGTGTCCAGTCAGACAAGAGAATAGCAATATCGAGGAACATAGAAAGTGGCAAGGCTAGTGGTCACTTTGGGCCTTTAATGAAATGCCCATTTTACAGCTACGGAGAGATATGGAGGAATGCCTTATATTTAGTAGCAGTTAATGGCTTAATTAGGAACAAAAACAAAGGCCCAGTTCCCTTAGACTTTTCCACAGGCTCCCACTTAACAACATTAAATCACACTTGTGAGTCTTACAAAGGCCACTCTAACACAAAGATCCTGATCTTTGCCCCTTCCCTGCAGTCGGAATTAGTCTTCTGTGGGATGTTATGAACATCAGCCTTCCTCCCATATTGTGTAAATTAGAGGGAAATTTAAAGTATCTTGTTGTTGGACATAGTCTCCTAAAAAGTTTTGTTAGATGCAAGGTAGAGGGGGTTATCACCTAATGATTTGATAAAGTTAAGCCCTTGTTTTCTGTAGGATTTCTTCTAAAAACCTACTTCATATCATAAGAAATGAATCCAAAAATGTATCATGAAATGAATGGGTAAAAAAGTGTGCTTTTAATAAGTTTAGTAAAATGAAACAGTTGATATAAAAGCTACATCATAAAAGTTTTTTTTTTTTTTCCTTTGTCTTGGGAGGAGACATAAAAGTTTTTTAATGGAGATTTTCCTACTTGGGCTAGACTTGGCCAAGACCTCTTAGGGGACCTAAGAAGTTTTGATTTCTTTCATTGCTCTATTAACCTTCTTGAAACAGTGTTCAAAATTAATGTCATTTGTCTCAAATTTTCATTGCCAATTCGTGCACAAGAATGCCTCTGAAGGCCTTTGAATGGTAAACCCTGGAGTTCCAGTTTCATAGCAACGACTCCCTTACAGATCTCTCCCTCTTGCATTTCATCAAGAGCCAGCTGAGTCGCTGCCACTGCCTACCAATCTCGACCGGACCTCGACCGGCTCGTCTGTATTGCCAATCGACTCGGCGTGGCGTCGGTCGTGGTAGATAGGCGGTCATACATACGAATTTTCAACTCTATTCCTGGTGACTTTTTAAATATGTCTTTACTATTTTTTATTATAAAAGAAATACCCACCTTTGTAAAATACACCAGTATTACAGATTAACCCCTCTTAAGTTTGACTTATATTCTTCCAGGGGTTTTTCTATATGCTTAGTATTAGTTTTTCTGTTTCTGTTACTGCAAACTTCAGTGTGCATCAGAATTACCTAGAGGCCTTATTAAAACAGGTTGCTAGGCCCGAGTTTCTAATTCAGTAGGCTGGGATGGGGCTTGAGAACCTTGTACTAACAAGTTTCTAGTAATGCTAATGCTAATGCTGCTGATCTAGGGTCCAGAATTTTATTTTATTTTTTTTGAGACAGTCTCACTCTGTTGCCAGGGCTAGAGTGCCGTGGCATCAGCCTAGCCACAGCAACCTCAAACTTCTGGGCTCAAGCGATCCTCTTGCCTCAGCCTCCTGAATGGCTGGTACTACAGGCATGTGCCACCATGCCCAGATAATTTTTTAATGTATATTTTTAGTTATCTGGCTAATTTCTTTCTATTTTTTAGTAGAGATGGGGTCTCGCTCTTGCTCAGGCTGGTTTTGGACTCCTGACCTCCCGCCTCTGCCTCCCAGAGTACTAGGATTACAGGCGTGAGCCACCATGCCCAGCCTAGGGACCAGACTTTGAGACCCATTGATGTGCTCTATAATACCCAGAAATAGGGTTTTTTAAATATTTCACATTACTTGGGGACATCTTTCCATGTCAATACACAAAGGTCTATGCACATTGTATTTCCTCCAATAAAAACCATTATTTATCAGTCCCCTATAGGTGGACTTTTAGTTTTTCCAGTTTTTTACTTTCACAAACAGTATTTCAGTGACCATTCTTGAACCATATAATGTGTTTCTACTTTGTAATATTTCGGTAAAGGTAAATTCCTGGAGAAGAAAATGAAACAGATAAAAGGGTGTTATACTCATTTTATAATTTGATACTGCCAAATTGCACTTTAGGAAAGTTGTACCAGTTAACACTCCAAACAACAGAGAATGCCTATTTTTAAAGTCTTACTCCATCACCCTAGGTAGAGTGTAGTGGCGTCATCATAGCTCCCAGCAACCTCAAACTCCTGGGCTCAAGTAATCCTCCTGCCTCAGCCTCCCAAGTAGCTAGGACTACAGACACATGCCACGATGCCCAGCTTTTTTTCTGTTTTTAGTAGAAATGGGATCTCACTCTAGCTCAGGCTGGTCCAGAACTCCTGAGGTCAAGCAATCCTGCCTTGGCCTTCCAGAGTGCTAGGATTACAGGCCTGAGCCACTACACCGGGCCCCACATTCTTAATAATACTGCTTATTATAATTTTATCTTTGCCAGTTTGATGGTTAAATATTGGTTTTAGTTTACATTTCATTGATGGTTGAGGTAGATTATCCTTTTATGTTTTGCCTTTTTGTTTTTGGCATTCTTTTCTTAATATTTTCCCTTCTCTAACATGATTAAAATATTTGCAGATATTTTCTCTTGGGACTTTTTGGTTTTGCTATTTACACTTAAATCTTTTGTCTATTTTGGCATAAGGATTAAGGATTCTATCTTCCCCACCACCACCAATGGCTAGTATCAACTCCATTTACTAAATGATCCCTTCTCCCTCATCCCATGGAGGTTCTAAATTATTTATAACAAGAAAAATTGTAAAACTAGGGATTGTGAGTTGAGTTGTTTAGTCTTAAAACTGGTTAATTCAGGCTGGTCCAATGGTAGTGGATAATCAGAATTTATTAATATTAGTGTTACTAAAGTTGGTATTCAGCCCCCCACTGCTAAATTTGACTGGCTTAAAAAAAACCTGGTTGATTCAGTGTACAATGTACCGTGGTCTGGATAGAGCCAGGCATGAAAACATTATGTTGCTGTGAAAGCAACATAAATGGTAAGAATTTGACATTTAAAAGTTTATAACTTAAGTCATTGGGAGGGGTGGCAAGGGCAATATATGTAACATTAACATTGGGTCAGAGAGTGGACTGTGTTCTCTTATCTGCTGAGTATTCATGAAACAGCAACTAAAGTAAAGCCCTGCTTCCAAAAGCTTCTCTTACCAGCAAGGCTTTTTCTACCATATTTGCTACTGCTGTGTTGGGTAAGACATAGATTAAAAATTTAGGCCGGGCGTGGTGGCTCACGCCTGTAATCCTAGCACTTTGGGAGGCCGAGGCGGGCGGATTGCTCAAGGTCAGGAGTTCGAAACCAGCCTGAGCGAGACCCCGTCTCTACCAAAAATAGAAATAAATTAATTGACCAACTAAAAATATATATACAAAAAATTAGCCGGGCATAGTGGCGCATGCCTGTAGTCCCAGCTACTCAGGAGGCTGAGGCAGTAGGATCGCTGAGCCCCGGAGATTGAGGTTGCTGTGAGCCAGGCTGACGCCACGGCACTCACTCTAGCCTGGGCAACAAAGTGAGACTCTGTCTCAAAAAAAAAAAAATTTATATGCAATGACTTCAAGTTTTTCAACTTAAAAAAAAAAAGCAGAATTTATTTTCTTTTAAATTGCATCCAAACCAATTTATTGTTGCTTTCTTTTTCTCAAAAAAGATTGGAATCATGGCAGGTCCAGAAACTGATGCCCAATTCCAGTTCACTGGTATTAAAAAATATTTCAACTCTTACACTCTCACAGGTAGAATGAATGTAAGTATCAATGATACCTGTAAGTACTTATATTTTAGAATAATATAGGTGTGACACAACTCTTGTTTACTTTATTTTCTCTTTTTCAGTGTGTACTGGCCACATATGGAGGCATTGCTTTGATGATCTTATACTTCAAGTTAAGGCCTAAAAAAACTCCAGCTGTGAAAGCAACATAAATGGTAAGAATTTGACATTTAAAAGTTTATAACTTAAGTCATTGGGAGGGGTGGCAAGGGCAATATATGTAATCTTAACTATATTTGTACCCCCATAATATGATGAAATAAAAAGAATTAAAAAAATAATAAAGTAAAAGTTTATAACTTAAGCCATTAAGGGAAAAAGTATTGTCCATATCCCATTTCCCTGGCAATTTTTGTTAACATTTTGGTTTAGCTTTTTTAAGTATCTTATTTGGCTTCCCATGGCTATGATCATGTCTATAATTTTGTCTTAAAACAAATATATCTTCTTTATAAATTGAATGCATGAGTGTTTATGAATATATGAACTATTTATTTCAGAGGAAATCTGTCTCCCATTAGAATTTTTTTTTCTTTTTGAGACAGAGTCTCACAGTGTTGCCCAGGCTAGAGTGCCCTGGCGTTAGCCTAGCTGACAGCAACCTCAAACTCCTAGGCTCAAGCGATCCCACCGCCTCAGCCTCCCCAGTAGCTGGGACTTACAGGCGCACGCTCCCATGCCTGGCTAATTTTTTCTATATATTTTTAGTTGTCTGGCTAATTTCTTTCTATGTTTTAGTAGAGACAGGGTCTCACTCTTTCTCAAGCTGGTCTGGAACTCCTGAGCTCAAACAATCTGCCCACCTCGGCCTCCCAGCGTGCTAGGATTCCAAGCGAGAGCCACCATGTCCAGCCCATTAGAATTTTTTTTTTTTTTTTTTTGAGACAGAGTCTCGCTTGTTGACCAGGCTAGAGTTAGTGCCGTGGCATCAGCCTAGCTCACAGCAACCTCAAACTCCTGGCCTCAAGCAATCCTTCTGCCTCAGCCTCCCGAGTAGCTGGGACTACAGGCATGCACCACCATGCCTGGCTAATTTTTGTATATATTTTTAGTTGGCCAATTAATTTCTTTCTATTTATAGTAGAGACGGGGTCTTGCTCTTGCTCAGGCTGGTTTCGAACTCCTGACCTCGAGCAATCCGCCCGCCTCAGCCTCCCAGAGTGCTAGGATTACAGGCGTGAGCCACCGCGCCCGGCTTAGAATTTTTTGATACATAACATTACAGTGAATCCTTCAGAGCATGAAGCATCTGTATTTATGATTATTTTCTTAAGGTAAAGCTTTCCCAAACAATTACGGGACAACCACCTTTGTAAGTGGGTATGTCTTTTGCCCCAGCCAGTGTAGAATAACATCAGTTTCTGACTTTAGCTAATTTGATGAGTAAAAAAAAATTATGTCTCTTGTTTTTCAATGAAGCACATTTTTTTCCATCTGTTTACCATTTGTATTTTTCTTGACATCCTATTCATGCATGTCCTTATTTAACAATTGGGTAACTTGTATAGGCTATTTATGTAATAATTATTAACCGACATTGTTTATCAGTTGCACATATTTGTTTGCTAGTTTCAAATGTTAATATAATTAATTCTGTCTTTAAATTCCTACAGGCTTCATTTTCTTATAGTCCCCCCAAACCCCAATTTGCCCTAAGTGAGTAGATATCTGTTGTGTTGGCAATAGATGGTATGTGGAAAGCCCAAAATCTAGATCTTCATTTAATGTTGCTCTCCTTCACAGTTTTCTTCTGCTCTTAAGAGGTTCTCCATAGCCGGGCATGGTGGTGCACACCTATAGTCCTAGCTACTCTGGAGGCTGAGGTGGGAGGATCACTTGAGCCCAGGAGTTAGAGGTTACAGTGAACTATGATCAAGCCACTGCACTCCAGTCTGGGCAACAGAGCTCAAAAAAACAGAGTTTTTCCAATCTCAAACCTAGTCACCTTAGGGGAATGTATAGCCCAGAATACTGTGGTCCATGGCTTATTCCTAACAGTATTTTGCCCAATTTTCCATATTAGGTGCCTCCTAACTTTGGGAAGGTGGTAGTATCCCCATTATAAAAATGGAGAAATTGTCTCAAATATTAAATAACATACTTAATTATTTTCTGCTATTTAAAATGTTACTTTATATATTAGACTTTTCCTATAGTATACCTTTAGGATCAGCTCCGTTGTTAAAGGTGGAGTATTAGGTTAAAATGTAGTAAGCTGAGGGACACCTTAATTTTTTTTTTTTTTGGTGTTACTGACTCCTTTGATCATCTGATGAATTTGCATATAATTTCAAGGGGTTCATGGATATTCCTATCATAGTAATTCTCGAATGTCTTTAAAAGTAGTGTTGAACACATTTGTTTTTAAACTGTTTTCGCTTTGTTTATAGGATTCTCAACTGTCTGTTAAGTTCCCATGCCTGGAGAAGCTAATGTCACCTCATCATGTGATACTCAATTTGTACAATAAATTATGAACCTGGAAAAGCTGGTTGTTTTTATTTACAAGATATCAAAAATATAAAAACTGTACAAAATGCAACAAAGGCAAAAACTGGCAGTTACTTGGTCTATATCTTTTAGTTTCCCAAAGCAAGGCTCAGTACTGGAGGTAAGCAACTGAAATGTCTGACTTCAAGTGTACTAGGTTTTATGTAGCTGTTTTAGCTGAAGTAGAACATGGAAGCTAAATTTCTTCACCTGGTTTATAGAGTGTTTGGATGCACTCAAAACTCAACAGATAGAAATTCAGATGTCAGTGGATGGTTGTACTTCATCTAGACCTAAAAAAGGAATTGTAGTTCACCCTACTTAGTTACATACATTCCACTAATCATGGGCCAAGAAAAAAATGTTAGTGGATCATTTAACATAGTACTTGAGTGCCATATAGTAACTACATTTTTATAGTGGAAACATACAGGCTCATTGAATTCTTCAGCTAAAATTCAAGACACAGTATTAATTATATTTCTTAATTTGAATCTTGAAGCAGGATGAATTATTAAAATTGACTTTTTTTCTAAACATAATAAATTAAAATAGCATTTGAACAGAAAATGCATAGTTTCCACACAATCCAAAGCACCATAAATGTCCCCTCCACAAACATAATACCTCTTATTCAACTAACGGAAATTAGTTAAATGTGGTTGCTATAGAAATGTGGAACTGTCCAGTTCAGATTTTCCAAGCAGCATACTTCCAGATCTATATAGATAAAAACATTCTTTGTAGCTTAAATATTAATCACTGAGGTATTTGCTTTTAGTCTCCCTTTTTAAACAGTAGCTTCCAGAAGGTCTTTAATACCGATGGTTTATTGCGGACTATAAGCTCCTGCAGCTAGAACCAGGTTTCTTCGTGTAAAATGGAGGTGTACAACTGGTGTTGATTTGGTCATATATGTTCCCAACAATAACTCCTGTGAATTCTCAGGTAAGTTTATATGCCCAGTGGCTGTAGTAAAGTCATCAGTCTCTAAATCTTCAAATGCTTTGATAGCATCCCATAACCGAACTGTATTATCCATTGAACCTAAAGAGAAATCAATGGAAACCATTAGTTGCATCCATCACATTTATATTTGTTATTTATTTTTTTCTGAGACAAGGTCTCTGCTGCCCAGGTTGGAGTGCAGCTCACTGCAGCCCCAAACTCTGGGCTCAAGCAATCCTCCCACCTCAGCCTCCGAAAGCACTGGGATTGCAGGCATGAGCTGCAATCACATTTAGATTCTGACATTTTGTCCCATATACATTTATTTACTGTATATTTTTGGTGAAAAATCTAAACTTGACCAACCATTACTTCTAAAAGAACATTTCAAACAGTGCTTTAAACCTCAGAAGTCAATATATACATAGGATAACACTCTGGAATCATAGCTAAAGAGAAGCAAAACCTAAAACAGCAGGACTTAGTTTTGCAATTGTCAACACTGGGTGTTTCCTTTTAACATACTATTTGCCCTTTACCACAAAGCCATTAATAGTCATTTACCTGATGCCAAGATTTCACCATCTCTACTAAACCTAAGTGAACAGACTGTATCAGTGTGGCCTTTTAATTCTCCAACCATCAGACCATGTCCAATATCCCAAAGGAGTACTCTGCCATCCGTTGCTCCTGTAGCCAGGAATCTCCCATTGGGAGAAAATGTCAAGGAATGAATTGGTCCCTAGGAAACAAGTCCATGGAAAAGATTAGAATTAAATGTATCTAAGAAAGTAAGAAAAAATTTTAAAGTTTAGTGGTATGAATGGTATCTTTAAAATGTATGTGTCATTTGATAGTAAGCTTGTATGCTAGACTAATAAAAGTGTAAATACCTTGTGTCCAGTGAAGATCCTTACACAGTTACCATTTAAGACATCCCAGAGCCGCACAGTTCTGTCTGCAGATCCCGTAGCAACATAATTAGAATTTGGGTGGAATCTGGTACAATTCACATCAGCAAGATGGCCAGCAAATATCCTTAAAGGTTGATAGTGGTCTGTAGCCCAGAGTCTTTTTAAAAAGTTATTGAAAACAAAAGATGACAATTAGTAGTTAACTATGAAATGCCAAAAATCTATCCAAAATAAATACAGAAACATCCATGTGAAATGGTCATTCCAAATGGGTCCCCCCTCACTAGTTAACTGGGGAAAGAAGATGGAATGACTGAGAATTGATAACATTCTTAGGAAAAAGGGTTGATACACTATAATTTTTTGAGAGAAATGGTCTTGGTCTATCTCCCAGGCTGGAGTGCAGCAGTATGATCATCACTCACTGCAGCCTTGAACTCCTGGTCTCAAGCGATCCTCCTGAGTGGCTAGGACTATAGGTGCATACCACTATACCCAGCTAATTTTAATTTATCTGAATATGGCTGTTCTCTTCTATTCCTTCCCTACTCCTAGTTACAGAAAAGTATCTTCCCCTGGTTTGGGCCACTACATAGTTTCCAACCTGAGCTACCTCATCCTAAATGTTTAAGGAGATGACAGAGAAACATAGGTGCACACAGTGGTAATGGAAGACAAAGTTAAGCACCTGATGGGGGTAGGAGGAATGTTAATAAACTAACTTAAAGAAAAGCAGGAATCTACATAATTGCAGATAAATACTCCTGTCCCAAATTCATTTTCAAATAAGGAGCTGTAAATGCTGGTGTTCTCAAAAAGTTGATATTGAATAATGGAAGTGGAAACAAGTTTGATTGAAACCATTCTGTTCATTGAATGGACCCAGTCATAAGATCACAGTGTTCTTACCGAGCTACTCGGTCGTGGCCCCCTGACACAAAATAATATCCATATGGAGAAAATTGTGTGTCCCATACTGGATAGTTGTGTCCTTTATATCCCACCAAACAAGTAAATGTTTGAAGGCTCCACAATCTAACAGTTCCATCCTCTGAAGAGGAAAGCAGGTAGTTCCTGAGAAGAGAAAGTAATACATTTGATTCCCAGAATAACTTAGTTACCTGCCTGGTTTTTCTGTACATTTGAATATATTAAATGTAGTTAACATGCTACATCTCACTTTTAATTCATATGTGTAATTCACAGTAGATATCAAGAGTTGAAAATAACTGAATATTAGCTTTGATACTCCATATACTGAATACCTACTGAATGAGGTAAGATTATTAAAAAAAAACAAACTTATAGTCTATTAGGGAGAAAATCACAGTTCTTTTGAAAAAAGAAAAAAGAACCAGGGATAATGACAAAAAGTATGGTCAAATAAGGTCAATTGAGAAGATCTTAAGAAATGTAATATGTCACTTAAACTCCTAAAATGGAGATACTATTTTCCTATCCTGTATGAGTTGTATCAGAATTAAAAAAGAAATGTTTTTGGGGAAAAAAAAACTACAGACATACCAGTAATACTCTTTTTCAGCGATTAACACAAAGGCTAAATACTTAAAAGGTATTACAGTTTTCACTGAAATCAAATTTCTCTCAAGTAAAAATGAATCATCTGGCTAAGCCCTATCAAACAACAAAAAAACCTCATTCTCAAAGTTTCGTAAAAATGAAAACCTTGATGGATTGAAATCTATTATCTATCCAAGTAACATACAGATGGTATTATGAATACAAAATACTCTCCCCTCCATTTCTACAGAACATTAGAGATCATGAAAAATAGGCAAGTACCCATACACATAAGGAAGGGAAGCAAAACCTAAACTGGCATTTTCAAATTTCCTTTTTAGTATCCTCTTAGTTCTTTTGGTTCTAGAAAGATAAATGCTCAATTGATAGCTGATATGCCATTAAAAATCAGGAATTTGTTTTAAATTTGATGAAGTAGCCACAAAACACAATGCAGGGACCCAAAGAAGCAATCCAACCCCTATCAGGGTTAAAACAAAACTGAAGCTAATTTTTAAAACCAGTAAACCCTAAAGCTATGCATCTTGATTCTATAAATTTGGGTATACATTAAATTGCTATCTTATACACCAGTACCCCAGGATGAATTTGCAAATGGCAAGATCCTAAAAGATAATGAATAATAGGTGACTGTGAGATTTTTCTAATAGAATTTTCCCAGCATTTGCATGTTTCCAGTAGTTAACTTTTATAATCTCTAAACATAATACAGCAATATTTAATTTTTATTGTTTGTATTTTACCTATCTGGACTGAAGCTGGCTCCATAGACAGGCCCACTGTGACCATACAAAATCTTCAACTCACTTGCTGTTTTCTCATCCATGATTCTTTCTAAGACGTCATCTGATTCTTTGTCTATCAGGCTAAGATCTAAAATGGTCCAGAAATATTGATTTTTTTAAAGTACATTTATGAAAACATTTTAGGCAATCATATCACTGTTGAGAGTAACATTTGAACATTCCTTCCTATATACCAACCACTGTGCTAATGCCTTTAAGTTAGGTGATATCATCCCAGTGTACAGCAGAGGAAACTGAAGTTTAGGACAGATAATAATTTGCTAGAGTGCACACAGCTACTCAGCTACCCCAGTCTCCTGACTGCCATTCCAATTCTCTTTTCACTGTTGGAAATATTAGCATCCTGATTAAAGTGACATGAAGTGAATTTCTACAAAGATCATAACTTCATGTGTATATTCCATGGAATAAAGATTCAGGTTTACATCCTGAGAGGTCATCTCAGTTACCTGATGCCTGTTTGACACTCCGAAGCTTTTTGGGTGTCACAGACCACACTCTAACAGTTGAATCTGCAAAACCTCCAGCAATCAGACTAGAATCATCAGTGACATCCACTGCAGTGAGACCCTGCCAATAAAAAAAAAGTTTTAGACTAAACTATACTGTTTTGGGAGGTATAGGGAATTAATATTAAAGAATACATAATGATGGCTATTTTTCTCATATAAAATATCATTTGAGATTTTATTCTCGTGTAAAACCCATTTACCTAAAAACACTTACTTGGAGAACATGTCATCACTTACCCCATTTTTGCTCTCCATATTTGTAGTGCATGATAAGA